CGAGGGGCTGATACTATACTGAGATTTACATATTGAGCTCGAGGGGCAAGCTTTTGATTTATCTTTACTGTGAAAATTATTTGTCTTTACTGTTTTAAAAGAAAAATTATCTGATACTCACTATTTTATTGTATAACTAATTTTACTGCTCGGGATAGCGCTATATTGTGCCGTTATGAGATTTCATGTTTTCAGTCGTTATTTATTTTTATTACTCATTGGGTCGGAGTACTCACATTACTCCCTGCACCATATGTGCAGATACATGCAGAGTTGAGTTCGCTCCTGAGCGCTGATTCTTTCCAGACCAGGCGGTGACTAGGAGTAACGAGGTAGCTATTGACGTCCGCAGCCCCGTTTTCTCCCTTATCTTTGTTATTTATGATAATTTCAGACTTTGTAAAATATTAGTAAACTCTGTAGTAGCTCATGACTTGTGACACCCCGATTTCGGGCTGAGTTGGGAGGGTTTTCCTTGTTCTATCACGGTTATTTCGCATTTAAGATTATATTGCCCATGATTTAGACTTATTCCTATTAAGTAATTATAAAGAGATGTACTGTTTTGTTGATTGGCTGGCCTTGTTCTCACGAGAGGCACCATCACGATCGGGTTGGACACCTTCCTCTTCAAGAATACAATGGCGTTGTATTAATGGTTTAAAAGACCCATGTATGTTATTTTAACTCATGTATGTTATTTTGCTGGGCCATCTTATAACCGAAACTTGGAAGAGGACCCGAATCCAACAACTAAAAATCTTTATAATATGCTCAAAGCATCAGAACAAGAAATTTGGAAAGGAAACTCCCATTGGCATTCACAATTGTCTGTCGTTGCTCGATTGTTGAATCTAAAGGCAGAACATCATTTTTCCAAAAGGTGTTATGATGCCTTATGTCAATTTTTATAGGAATTGATGCCGATCGATAATATAATGACAGATAGATTTTATAGTACCAAAAAGTTAAAACATGTGATGTGGAATGAACTATTTTATGAAGTTGGCAGTAAGTTAAATTAGTATTACTATAGAAATTTGGGTAGTTTGTGATTTCCTTTACTTATATTTTGCAATTTGTTTTGTACATCTTTGTTATGTATCGACAAATGAAACGAAATTTGAAAACTAGTTACTTGATCTTATAATGATTTTTGTTGTTGTTAAGGCATATCACTGCTTGTATGTTAATTTTTTTTGGGTATATTCAAATCTGCTACCAAATTCTATTTGAATGACTTATAAATGTTACATATTGCATAATATACTAATGAATTGGAACTTTCTTTGATTTGATTAGTGCTGATTCTAGTGTCCCAATACTGATCTTTTTGGTAAATTTGATTTTCAAGTGCATTTAGTTAAGAATGAGTGATTCGACATCATCAGTTCCTGCAACTCTTGGTACTCCGAGTACTCCTAGTACTCCAGATGTCTCTATTGGATCAACTACCAACTTATGCACATCTGATCGGTCAGTCATATCAGTTAAGGGAGAAAAGTATGAAACAAATACTTTTGTATATATGTTTAACTTTTCTAAGTGTAGATATCATGAAATCTGTAAAGTATTTATTTTTAATTATGCTCCAGGTTCATTCCTAATGGTCATGCTATCTCGACAATTGTCACAGAGACCTTCAAGGAGCGACAAGATGCTACTGATTACTCATGCTAAATCTATAAGCGTTCAAGTAAGTTCCTTATTCATGATCTTGTATGACAACTTTTTTGAGTGCTAATTTATACTAATTGTCAGCTTTCCTAGCTTCTGGTAAACTTTGGTATGTTGATAACTTCATGGTCATTAATTCCCATTTAGAATATTGATCTTTAATATCTACTAAAAGATGTGTACTTACTGTATCTAATAAATTATAAAGAATGATATGTGATTATCCCATTATATAAAAGAACATTCAACGAAAAGTCATATCATTCCAAATCATATTCATATAGACATAACTTTACAAAATAATTTCATCTTTCTTTTCTGTGTGCTTCTTCTTATTAGTTGTTGGAGTTAATGATATATAAAGGCGGGTGTTGTAGTTATTAGTTATCTTTACTTATAATTTTGACAAGTACTTTGTGACTAACTGGCCATCAAAGTAGAGTACAATGAGAATAATAAAGATCCTAGTCCAGCTAAATCTGCAACCATGCGAAAGAGTTAAATAAAATAAAGTGATTCTAGTTTGTGCGTTATTTCAGATGTTTCATTCCTAACGCATATTGCTAGTTCTTATGTCCAAAGAAGGATTACAAGTGGATACATAATAATGTGAATAATCTAACGAGTAAGCGATAGGTATCTTTATTGATTAAGATGCAAATTTGATGGAATTGGTAGAAAATTGATATAACCTTTATTTTCATTATTGACTTACAATATGGGTAGCTATTTGTTTTCTTTTTATTTTCTTGACTCCTTATATTTGAGCAGTTGGTTCACCATTTTTGGGCTCTGTATTACATATTTTTTCTCCTGAGAACAATAGTTAATTCTTGTCCTTATTAATTTTTTCTCTTGAGAACGATGTTCTATTGGCACTATATAATATCTCAAATAACTTATTTTGGTGCAGAATAGTTTTGAAAAAAAGAAACAAGAACTGTCAGCTTCTCAAAGTGCATCAATTGAGGTAGGAGACACTAACTCAACAAGCCAATTAAGTGAAATGGATATTTGGGTGCAATCTGTTGGTGGAAAGAAAAAAGGAAGGATTGCAGGACTTGATTCTTTGGGTCGACCTGTAAAAGCACTTAAGCATTCAACACCTACTTTACAAAGAGAAATTGATGAGATAATTAAATCTCAGGTGCATGCTTCCAATGCTGACTTATATGCTCAGTTGCAAGAAGAGCGGCGCAAAAATAAAAAGATGAGGAAAGAATTAGACTTATTGAAGAAGTATGTGAATTTCAATGCATCATCTTCAGATGAGTTATCATCTCAAGAAGACAATCAAGGATCTGAGAACGAAAGTGACGATGACTTCGATAATGTGAATGAAAGTGGTTCTGACCCTGATAACACAAATGAAAGTGACAAATCATGATTGAGATGTTCATTAGACTATTAAGTTTCACATTTGAGATATTTTGGTTTTTGATTAAGGATTATATGATATTACATGGATTTGGGGATTTCAAATATTTCTTTTGTTTCATTGGAAATCTTACATGGTGATTTACCTACGAATTATTATTTGGGAACTTTGTTGGGGTTTTACGTGGAACATTTTCATGGGAATTTTCTTGCGAAAATGTGCTCCTGCGGATTTTACTTGGGGCTTTTCAAAGAAATTTCTTGCGGAAATATTCACAAGAAAATCCCTTTCGACCATAATTTTTCACCTCAAAATTTCCTACGGAAAGGATTTTCATGGGGAATTACATGCGGATTTCTTCCTACAAAAATTCCCAAGAAAATTCCTCTTTTACGAATTTTTACCAAAATATTATTGCGATTTTTTTTGAGATGTTTCGCTGATAAATCCGCAAGTAAGTTACATGGGATACAAAATCCCCAGGTAATTTACCTGGGGATATTTTAATTTCTAGGTAATAATTACCTACAGAGGTTTTTCCAACAGATTTATTTTGGTAGGAAATTCCGCAGAAAATCAAAGTACTTGCGATTTTTTTTTATCTTATCCCTTGGAAAATCCCCATGTAATAAGCACTTTTTTTATAGTGCCAGATTTTTACCCTCGGGAGTCGTGATGACACCTAGCCACCTACTAGTGAAAGCTAGGCAAGCCAATCATTACAATTATTTAACCCTTTTCATTTTTAATCCCTTAACAATTGTGAGTTAATATTTTATAAACAACGGAAATAATAAAGCGGAAGAATGAAATATAACAATTTAAAATAATACCGGTACAAATCCATAAACAAAAGCTACCTAGAATTGGTGTCACAATCTCACAGATTATCTAGGAATACTACAAATAGGGGTCTGAAAGATAAACACAAAGTTGTTTCTGAAATACATAAAAGAAACAGTAAGGAAAGATAGAAGGAGACTCCAAGGCCTGCGGACGCCTGCAGGACTACCTCGGGTTGCCTGATGGACTGAAGGCAGCAACCTCATTGTGGTCCAAAAGCTGCAGTACCGGGACCTGCCCACAGTGCAGAGTGTAGTATCAGCACAACTGACCCCATGTGCTGGTAAGTGCCTAGCCTAACCTCGACGAAGTAGTGACGAGGCTAGGACAAGACTACCAAATAAACCTGTGCAGTTATATCGCATACAACAAGTAATAACGACAGAAACTAGCAGTTAAAGATGGGAAGGGGAAACATGCTGCGGGGAATATCATGTACAAACAAATCTCAATAAAGAAATGAAAGGAATACAAAAATTGAACTGTAAGCAAGAATAAGGAAATCAAAGACAAGTGCACGGCATCACCCTTCGTGCTTTTACTCTCGTCCTCACCATAAGAATCAATATAATCGGCACGGTATCACCCTTCGTGCTTTTACCTCACATAATCATGGCACGGAATGATCCTTCGTGCATTATCACTCATATCATGGCATGGCATTGTACATCGTACGGCACGGCATCACCTTTCGTGCTTTTTTCTCACAATATCGGCAAAGCATCACCCTTCGTGCATTAACACTCTCTCACAAATATCATGCACGACATCGCCCTTCGTGCTTTTACACTCTTCCTTACCCAAGCAACAATCACAAAGCAATACGGGCAAGAGAATCAATAAAATCACAATAGGGTCCCGGCAAGGGAATATCATAATAACAATATCCCGACAAGGGAACAATAGCATAAGTAATAACATCCCGTAAGGGAGATAATATCAAAAGCAATAACATCCCGACAAGAGAGACAATATCATAAACCTCTTCTCTTTTCCACAATTACTTCACAACTCAATTCTCAACTTGAGCCAACGCTCTACAATGTTCAATTACTAGTAATACTTCCACAAGTCTTGTTCAACAATAAAAATCATCATATAAAGTATGAACAATACGAAACGGGGTCACATCAATCATAGTATAAGACTCACGGGCATGCTTGACACCGACGTTTATATACTCGTCACCACACCTATACGTCGTACTCAACAATTAACACATAGCAAATAAGACACAACTATTAATCCCTCAAGCTAAGGTTAGACCAAACACTTATCTCAATGCCACGAACACAATTCAAGCCTCAACTATCGCTTTACCTCTTGTTTCCACCACCAATTCGCTTGTATCTAGCCACAATTTATTTAACGATATCAATAAATGCTAAATGAATCAATTCTAATACATGAAAATAGGTTTTCTAAAGATTTCCCCAAAAAGTCAAAAATCGACCCCGGGCACACATGGTCAAAACCCGAGGTTCGAACCAAAACCCGATTACTCATTCACTCACAAACTCAAATATATAATTTGTTTTGAAATCGGACCTCAAATCGAGATCCAAATCCCCAAAATTTGAAAATCCTAAGTTCTATCCAAAACACCAAATTTCACCCATGAAAACCCTTGATTTTGAATTGAAATCATGTGAAATAAAATTATAGATTAAAGAAAATGAGTTAGAAACGACTTAAAATTGATTTGGAGAAGAAATTTTTTTTAGAAAATCGCCCAAGAGAGCTTAGGGTTTGAGAGAGTTTGAAAAATGAAGAAAAATGTGTTTAAGTCCAAATTAACTGCTCACAGGTGTCACAATTACGATCAGGGTTCGCAATTGCGAACCCCTTCAGGACCTGTTGTCTTTGCAAATGCGAAGAATTTGTCGCATATGCGACCATGGGAAAATCCTGTCACCCTCGCAATTGCAAAGGAAACATCGCATTTACGATTGGGAGGGCTTCGCAATTCCCACCTAGCGTTCGCATTTGCGAAAAGGGCTTGCCCAGGCTTGGTTCGCATTTGCGACATTGGGGTCGCATTTACCAAGCATGTCCACTTCGCTATTGCGAAGCCTGATCTCGCAATTGCAAGATTAGAGGCCTGGGCAAAAATAACAGATACCAGCACTTGCTCCTAAGACCAATTTCACTCCGTGGCCTATCCAAAGATCACCCGAGTCTTCGGGGCTCCGAACCAAACATGCACGCAAGTCTAAAAATATCATACGGACTTGCTCGTGCGATCAAATCATCAAAATAACATCAACAACTATGAATTAAACCTCAAATTCATGAAATCACTCAAGAACATCAAAATTACTATTTTCTCAACTATAGGTCCGTTTTATACCAAACCAATTCCGATCTTTACCAAATTTTACAGATTCAACTTAATTATTATTTCAAACTTGTACTAGGCTCCGGAACCAAGATACGGGCCCGATACCATCAAGAAAATGCATCAATTCACTTCTAAAAATCTTTATATTTTCCAGAAAATAATTTTCTTTAAAAATTTATTTTTCGGGTTTGGGACCTCGGAATTCTACTCCAGGTATACGGCCAAGTTCCAAATTTTACTGGGGACCCTACGAGACCGTCGGATCACGGGTTCGAGTCCGTTTACCAAGAATGTTGACCAAAGTCAAATTTATTCAATTTTAAAAGCCAATTTCCTTATTTTACTTAGTTTTCACATAAAAGCTTTCCTGAAACGCGCCCGGACTGCGCGCGCAAATCGAAACGAGACAAAGAGAGGTTTTTAAGGCCTCGAAACACAAAATTGTGACAAGCATCTCCTCTAACCAATTCTTTTGCCTGATACATACTCAGGTCCAATACTAAATAGATCCCTTTCTGATTTTTTATTTGAGTTGCTAAGCCCGATGAGCGATGATTCTAAAACAACTTCATCCACCTCCAGCATGCTGCTACCCTGGTCCTCCAATGTTTGAGAAAGGCCCTTGCTATCCGGACTTGATATACCCACTGCCTTTGCCACTAACATTAAGCTATTTTGATCGCCTGAGTCTTCCTTGTTCTCTTGCCCTTATGCTGCCCTTTTCCTTTCCTGTTCTGCTATAGTCTGAGTCACATTCTCTCTGATGTTACACAGGTTTCCTTCTTCATCAACACAAAGATTGATGTCCTCCTCTATTATAGCTATCTTCTTCTTGCCCTTCCTATTTGATAGGCTAGGCTTAAAAGAAACCTTGCTTTTCTTCTGTGGCATCTTCTTACTTTGCTCTTCTTTTTTTTTTTTTTTTTAAATCTCTCCCTCATGTCTGTTTTAGGCTCATCCTTTGCTGTTTCCATGGCCCTATTACTTGTACCCAACTCCCTCACTACTATAAATCCGGAAAAAAACGACCAAAATTTAGCGACCAAAGTTGGTCTGTGGGAAAAAGCGACCAAAGTTGGTCGCTAAACTAGCGAAAATAATAAAATAAATAAAATAGCGACCAAGGTTGGTCGCTATNATACTTACGCTATACTATGCACTGAGTATAAGTGTATTAGGTAATACTGTATCGAATATAGCTTTTATATATATATATATACTTACGCTATACTGTGATGACCCAAAATGTCATCTTTAAATTAAATAACCATCTCGGTATTTTTAAGACCTTGAAAAGCGGTATCAATAATTTCTCGACTTGCGTGCGCAGTCCGTATAATTTTTCGGAAGGTTTTTATGTGAAAAATGGACTAAATTGGGAACTAGAGCTTTAAAACTCAACTGAGTTGACTTCGGTCAACATTTTGAGCAAACGAACCCGGATAAAAGTTTTGACCATTCCGGAAGTTTCGTATCGTGACTTGGGACTTGGTCATATGCCCGAAAGCGAATCTGGAGGTCCCTAGATCAAATTATCGTCATTTAACGGAATCTAGAAATCTAAGGCTAAAGATTTCTTAAGTTTGACCGGAGAGTTGACTTTTTGATATCGGGATCGGAATCCAGTTCTGAAAATTTTTATAGTTTCGTTATGTCATTTATGACTTGTGTGCAAAATTTGAAGTCAATCGGACTTGATTTGATAGGTTTTTGCATCGAATATAGAAGATAGGTCTTAATTTCTGAAAATGGGACTTTGTCCCATTTTCCATTTTTGTCAAATTGGAGCTCGGGAAGAGGCGATTTTCGAGAGATTTTCAGAGAAAACAATGGGGTAAGTGGTTTTAACTTAATATTGGCTAGATTACCCGAATCTATTACTAGTTTTGATACTAAATCTGTGAATTTAGTTGGAAGAGT